TTTGTTGGCGAAGAGGATGTTGTAAGTGAAAGAATTCCTCCGCCCAAAACTCCAGCTTCTTCGCGGAAACTAGGTGCCCAAGAACAAGAATCATCTGGTCACGAGAGTTTTGATTTTGAGGAAAAAGTAAAAAGGCTATCAGCTTGTTTCTATGGACAGTTTGTTGAAGTTTGTTCGTGGGATTCACTCGCGTGGACCATGTGCTTCAGGTGTGTTATATGATATTTTTAATTTTTCTTTATTTGGGAGCACATTATGTTTGTCTGTGGCTATGCTATAGTGTCTTACATATAATTATTTTATTTTAGGCAATGTTAAGCTCATTGAGAGAAGCATTGAGAGATTTGGTATCAGCAGCTCTTTGTTTGCTAAGTGCCATGAGTGTGGCATGGAGGAATTTATGGCTACAGGAGAGCATGATGGTGATCAAGAGACCCCGAGAACCATCCAGGGTAAAGATATCAATAGACGAGTAGTTTATGCTGCTTTTGAAATGGGAATTGGTAGAGAAGGGGTGGCTAAGCTATGTGAAATCCTAAACATGCTATTCAGCATTTCCATAGACACTTGGTATAACCATGAGGAAATTCTGCATGCTGCACAAAGTCACCAAGGAGCAGCGTAAAGCCAATGGGAATGAAGCAAAACAAGTCGCAATAGATGGAGGAACCTCAAGAAATGATAACAGTTCTCTTGTTGATATCCCTGTCACCTTTGATTGCACTTGGTCAAAGAGGGGTTTTACTGCTAGTCATTGTGCTGGTTTAGCCTGCAAAGACAAGTCTCATCATCTGGATGCTGTCTTCAAAGAGCCATTGCTAAAGATTTATGAAAGATTAAGTGAGTCAGCATTGTTGCAAAGGCCTGTTTGCCTGGCTACACACAATGCCAATGAATCTATCAATTCTCTTGTCTGGAAAGTGTCCAAAGCACAAGTGGCATGGATCAAAGAGAATAGGAATGGTTGCAAATGCTGCTGCCCTTCATTTTAGTTGTGGCGCAACTAAGAAACACAATGTTATGAGGGAAGCAGGGCTTGTTGTGGGACACCATACCAACAGAGCTAGTGAAAGAAGAGACTCAGGAAGAGTAAAACAGGCTGTGGCAAGAGTGCAAGAAAAGCACAAGAAATATAGGCTTGCAAGGAAACAAGCAAAAGCAAAAGAAGAAGAACTCCGAGTCAGGAGAGAAGGAATGTCATATAAAGCAGGCAGTTTTAATGACATTGCTACTCTCAGAGAGCGTCAAAAGATAAAACGGAACAAGAAGAGACAGTTAGGATAGGTGTAAGCAGTGTATCAATGTAAATTTGTGAGTTTATGTAAGTCAAGGGGCTCTAAGTAGCATCTAACTATATTGGTCATTTTTAACTTGCATTTCTCAAATTATGGAAATTTTGTTCTTTTCGTACTTGCCCCTTAAATATCTTTTCAACATATTTTCACCATATTTTGCACAGTTATAATAGATATTATAGTTAACAAATTAATTGAGCCTCTTGAAAATTCCACATAAAACAGAAATTACAGTCTGATAAATATTCTCTGTCGATAAATGGTTGTCATGGTAACTACAGTTGGCAAAACCCCAAAAGGCTCAATTACTTTATAGAGTGTGTTGTGTAAGTGCTTTGTACTAAGTTACAGCTCTATAGCTCTTTTAGAACACAAGAATTTCAAGGGGAAGCTAGAACAAGTAAAAAATTGTCTCCCGGAATTCATTAGTTAATAATTAACTTCATTAAAGATTCTGGTGTCTATTGATCATGTTGTCTTACTTATTAGTCATTGATTAATGCATGTGCCAAGTTTTGACTGTTTTCTCTCAATTGTAAATTTTTTATGCATTATTTTATATCCAAGTGAATTTGCCCCAAAATGTAACCAGAATGCCCCCTTAAATGTTATTTTGACAAAGCCACACAGTAATTTAGTATAATGTCACTTGTAACGCGCGCTGTCATTGGTTGAAAGGGCGTGCTCTGTATGGAGCTGAGCTGCGTAATTATTTTTTTCGATGATTAAGAGCGAAATTTCGGAAAACGCGAGCGGGAAAGTAGCCACAGAACAACCAATTAAAGGTTTGTCAACATGTCAAGCGCCGTAATTTGCTTTATTATAACGAGCTTTATAGGTTTTCACGCTCAGTTAGATTCAAACTTAAGTACGGTAATAAAACTCAAGCACGGCAAACACTCGTATAGTATTTATAGTTTCGTGTTTAAAAACAAAGCAGGTAGAAGACTTGAAGTTATATCCAAACTGGCATAAATGTTTAAAATTCATACGATCCATGACGATGTCAGAGTAACTGCGATTTTGCTGAGGTCTTTCGCGGTTAGCTCATCGGGCGAGCTCTCAGCAGTGAAGCAAGCCACTGAAAAATCGTCGGCCGCTCATCGAGTGAATTGAACTACCGTAATTTCATTTTTGTATGGCTTACACAAAGTGTGTAGCCACATTATGGCACGATCGGAATTATTTATTTATTTATTTATTTGTCCACAAGTCAAACGCATGTCACGTGGTCTAGTGTCGTTAGGCTTACTTGTCTGAATCAGCCATCTTGGTTGTAAGCGTGGTCTCGAGTAATTTTATTCAGGTGATCGTTTGACGAGTTAGTTCTCCTTACACAAGCCAACGCACCCAGACCCGTCTTGTGTTATAACTGCAGCTTGTGAGAGAGCCTTTACGCTTTTAAAAGACAACATTTAACAGCTTGAATCCTCGGTACGAGTTGTACTACACTGAAAGGAGTCATTGGGCTCTCGCAACTGAAATGGGACTATTATTACGTTTTCCAAGTAACGTCCAGAAGTATTCAGACCTTAACATTTCTTGACTTCCTGCAAGCTTGGCCGTGGCAGTCTTCTTAATTCTTTTCATAATGGTTCACATGAGCATAATATCTGTGTATTAGGCCTTTATTTGGTAGACTGCAGCTCCTCAGTTTTCAGTTACTTGTTTGGTTTTGGTTAATTCATCACAGTATTGATATACATGAAAAATTACACTCTTGATTGGCTGAAAACAGCTCTTTGAACGGCGTAATTCGACTTTGTAGAAATTTAACAGATTGGTTTGGTGGGGGTCTTAGAAAAACTAAGAGGGGTCTTTGTTTTCGAAAAGTAAGACCCCTAAATTTACCGCTGAATTTGACCTAAAACACGGTGATAAGGATCGGACAGGAGATAATTTGAAAGATTCGACTTATTTTGGTCACAATTTGACTTTATATTTCGACGGATTCGAATTTAGGGGGTCTTAGTTTTCGAGGGTCTTAGTTTTCGTAACACCCATTTACATGAGACGTCAAGTTCACCTTTTCATTTCATGTCTCCACATGGCTTGAATTTGGGAAACACTGGCATGAAATACCAATATCAATAACAAGAAAACTTGAAAGATTCTGGTACCATCAAGCGCATGCCTGTACATTGAACTCTGTTGTGTTTAAGTTATGTCTCTGATTACTGTTCTTGAAATCTATTATGGGGACACTTATCTCTATTGAACTTTCTGTTAAGTAAAACTTCGAGGTCAAATTGTGAATCTTATTGGGTTAAAAATTATTTGCATGCAGTTTTCATGTAATGAGGTTACTTCAGAGTACTACCTAACATGTGATTCATTAAAGTATTGCTTGTGTTCTGATCTTGTTATGCACTTATCTTTTTTCTCTCGATTCTTCCATTTGGAACCCCATATCCACCTACCTCAACTAAATTTTTCTGTGTTCTTCAATACAGTCCCATAAAACCCAAATAAAATAATTAGAGTAAGCATTTTGCTCTCAACCAACTGAGAATAGCATTTTGTGCCCTAATGGATAATAGAAACCTACACTCAGTATTGTGTTACTTTACAGGTATATATTTATATATTGTCCAAAATTAGCCATACATTCCAACCGAATCAAGCTTTCAATGAGTTCTCTTGTAGATTTCATCATTTCCCGAATGTTTTGGCCCGTCTAGCAAGTTGTGTCCTCACGTGCTGGTACACAAAATGACAGAACTTTTCATATGAAATGCTTCCCTAGAGTTAATTTCACAGAACTTGCCTTGGAAAAGACAATTCGGCAACCTACAAACTTCAGAACTCGTAAACAAAGTCATGACTGAATCTATTCGGCCCCTACGGGTGATGATGCTGATGCTCTTTTTTATTTTCTAAAATCTTCAGGTTACACGTGCAGCCTCTATTGTCAAAATGAGGCCTCCATAACAAAGTTTGGCCATTAACTCTGAACTTGAAAATGAACATTTCAGGACCATTGTATGGCAGTTATCTTGTTTTATCGATGAACAGGAACAATATTGAAAACTATCTAACCATAATCAGATATTAGCTCTTCTAATAGAAACACAATAAGAAATCAAACATTAGAAAGCAGCTCAATGCATAGAGCGCTGAACTGTTGTGCGGGAGGTCGAGGGTTCGAGCCTCGGCCGAACCAACACTCAGGGTCTTTAAGTAACTGAGAAGAATTTGCTACCTTTCTATAACATCAAGAAATGGACAGATATTCTAGTCTTCTCGGATAGGGATGAATGAATGGAGGTCCCGTCTCCTGTTGGGTTAGGGGCAGGAGATATTAATTTCCCATACACGAGATTACTGTGTGATGGATGTCCTCCCCTGGGGTGGGATGGGTGGGCTTATTGGGCCCACAGTAATCGGCGCAAGCTGTTGCGGTGTCCCTGCCGATTGGCGAAGCTAAACAAAACTAAAACTAAAAAGTAGAAAAGAAGCCAAAAAAATTCTGGCTTCTTTCTTGGTCAATATCAACTTAAGGTTCAAATCAATTCATTCACCAACATTCTGAAAAAAATTCTTCAGCTCTCTCCTTCAAACACCGTACAATAATAGCTATGTATGATATCCCATCTATGAATATTTTTTGTAATAAATCAACTGATAAAAATGGAACCATAAGCAGATTTGTATCGTCAGCGAATAAATAAAATGCTAATTTAACTGAGGCTTTGTAAATGTCATTGGTATAAAATTAATAAGAAACAGCAATGGCCCTAACACGGAGCCCTGTGGAACCCCACACAGGGTTTTTTCTTTTGGGGATATGTAGGTCCTATTTGTGTGGTTTGGACCCTTCCAGACAAGTACGATGAAAACCAGTCGTTTACAACTCCACGAATTCTATAGTGATTGAGTTTATGTAACAGGATCGAGTGGTCAACCGTGTCGAATCAACCGTGTCTAATTAATTGCGCGCGAACAAATTTTATCTGCACGCACGTATGATTAATGATTTTGATTAAGGATATTTTAATGATTTTGTAACTGTCAAATTTCAAAAATGCATGTCGCGACCGCCCCTTGTAATTCAGTTGTTACTGGAAGAGGCGGATTCATGCTGACGTCATTGTTTACATTTTTGCTCATTTTCATACGGCTTTGTGTAAAGAAGGAAGCATGATAGATACAAATTGACTTCAGGCAGCTAAAGAGCTAGAAAACCTTAGTACATGGTGAAATTTTTAGCTCTTTGGGTGTAATATTCAGGAGAAATAGTCCATCAAAAACTGCAAAATTTCTGGGTGGCAAAAGCGCTAATGAGCTCATACGTTCTATGTAAAATTTTGAGTTTTTAAACCCGTGTTACACAAAAAGTATTTAATGCATCAGGCTCGTATTCATTGGCCGAGTTAATCGTACTTCGATATTCAGAACTGATTTATTTTTAGCTCCATCAGAAACTGAATTGCTTATGCTAATGAGGCAAATATTGTAAACAATGATTCCCCTACAGGGTTGAATAAATGATTGATTGATTGCATACGCAAACAAAACCTTGGTGACAAAAATAATCCAAGAATATCCGGCGCATCAGTAACTTCAGCTAAAGAGAATTTTCCCGTTTTGCCCACTAGTTTGAAAGCCCACACGCATCAGTAGAATATCGAAAATATAGGCGTGAAACTTAACTAATTTCACGCTGAAAAGGCATTTTAACGACAAATAAACAATGAATATAGTTCAGGTGTGGGTTATCCACTAATGCGGGTAATCTGCTGACTTTTTTTTTGGCCGTATGCAATAATCGGCAGGTGTGGGTAAACGGGCGGAAATTACGGTTAGAGTTTGCTCTGATATCTTTTACGATACGTTTAGTGGAAGGCCACATCAGTCACAGAAGCCGAGTTTTTCTGCGCTGTCAACCCGAGCAATCCTTTTGTTCCTGTGAATTCGGCTGTTGCTCACGCCTTGAGCAGTTCACTTTCAAATAGTCATGTGGAAAAACTTCCGTGCTTTTATGGGGCACAAATTCGGCCGAAAGGGTTCACCCCGACGAAGGGCTAACGCCGAAACGTCAGCTTTTGTAATCATTACGGTGGCCAATTTACCATTTCAACTTTGCTGATATATCCAAATGTATTCTATTCTGTTGTATAGCCCTTAGGAAGCGGCTAGAGAAAAAACACTCCACTACATCTCGTGTTTCTATGAAGTGTAATAACCGTCAAAATTCAAGACATTCTGTTATAATATTCAAACATTCTGTTATGATATTGAGACATTCAGCTATGATATTCAGACATTCAGTTATGATGTTGAGACATTCTGTTATGATATTGAGACCTTCAGCTATGACATTCAGAGTGGATATATTAACATAATTATAATTTTGGCGGGAAATAAATTATCTTGACCAAAACACGTTTGATTCTGAGTGTCATAACGAACTGCATGTTACTATGTCAAAACACCAGAATGAAATGCACGCTATGAAAATGACAATTCACATAGCACGACTACATATCTCAATCTCATAAGTGAATGTCTTATCATCATAACAAAATGTCTCAATATCATAACAGAATGTTTCAACATCATCATGACTGAATGTCTGATTATCATAACAGAATGTCTGAACATCATAACTAAATGTCTGAATATCATAACAGAATGTCTCAACATCATAACTGAACGTCTCAATATCATAGCTGAATGTGTGAAGGTGTAGTCTGATCGTCCAGGTGAGTGTAGTCCTGAGAAGGACTGTTCTCGGTGGCAGTGACTGACGTTTCGACAACCTGTGCGGAAGTCATCATCAGAGTCAAGTGAAAGTCTGAATATGTCTGAATGTCTGAATATCATAACTGAATGTCTGAATATCATAACAGAATGTCTCAATATCATAACAGAATGTCTTGAATTTTGACAGTAATTACACTTCATATGTTTCTCCCTACACTTCTTTCGTTCTCTGGCCGCTCCTTGCATGCTGTGCAACACAGCATGGTCGGAGCTTCTCAGTTTGTTGAATAAAGTTTTCTGGCAAAATGACCCAGACACATATGACGTTTTTCAAAGTGGACATATGAACATTCAACATTGTAAAAAGAGGTAAAGAAAGATGTCTAACCTTTCGATCCCTGTATCCAGACATTTTGTTAACTTTGATTAATTGAGGTACGGTCAGAAAATAACCGACTTGCTTGGAATGACACTACAGAAAAAAACGCTGATTGGCTAAGGAAAATGACGTAAATAAAGCATTTGCAATGTACTAGTGACCGCCTAATGAAAACAATCCGAGGTGACAACACCATGAGACAATGCAAACAATTTCATTTCTCTTTTAAGTGTAGTGAGATGTTAAATGTTAATCCTTTCCAGGAGTCAGAAGGTTAAATGCTCGCTATCAATCAAACACTATACCCAAACAGAAGAATTTACCATTTATTCTGATTTTCCTTTTTAATGTATGCCATTCTTGTAGTGTACATCTCAAAAACCCAACAATCTACCATGATTCTATCTCAGCAACGAAGTAGGACTTTCTGTTCTTTCTGATTTCACAATACTAAAAAATGAATTAAGCCCCTTTCATAAAAAATTTTTCATCTAAAGGAGTGATTTTACACCTATATCACTGTGTCTGTCATTTTGTTTTAGAACTTAGCTGGCAGCTCAAGGAGGTCAGATTGTATTTTAATCTCTTACCATTTGAGAGGGCTGCTAATTCATATTTTCTGTTAGTACTAATTTCATGGCGCCAAGTGACCTCTATTCACTATTCTCTTGAATATTTCTACACTTCTGCATTTGTCTCTTCATCCAATGTGTAAACTTGAATTGCAAGTCTTCTCTATATAACTGTGATGTGCACAGTATCTTTCCTGATGTATAAATCCATTCATCCCAATTTTCATCCACCCAAGCTTTTCCTGCCATGTCTTCAGTTTGTTGGAGATTTCTGCATAGTTTGATTTGATTCTTGGCCCATTCAGAGAAATCAAATTCAGAATGTGCCTGATTGCCTGAGTGCATTGGACTAAATTTTATAGAATCACTTTGTTCACCAGAATTAAAAGATTTTTGAAGTGTCATCTCTGGAGAGGAAGCTTCCTTCTGTATTCTGGAGCATATCTCTACCTGTTGTTTTGCCCATTGTGTGAACTCAAAGGGTGGTGTCTCAGAGAATACTTCTCCCACTCTGCTGTGGTTCAATTTGTAACCTGACTCTCCTCCAGCACTAGGAATGCTATCCATGTGTGTACAAGAACTATATTTAGTGAAATCTCCATCCAGAATTTCTTCACACTTTGCCATCTGATCCTTTTTCCACTGAGAAAAATGAAATGACTGGCTTGGTTCCTGCTCAAGTGAGGGTGAGTCTACTTTATTTTTGTTATTACTTTTGTCACAACTGAAATCACTGCTGGAAGTTCGTTGCTTCTTGGTTGATNAACTTAAGGATCTAACAGATCAATGTAAAAAGGGGGTTGACAGGCCTACACGACTCCCCAGCGCGTGTTTAGAATAGCCTATTCAAAGTTTGGCCCTCACGAGTATGTCTTAGAGCGATCGCCCTCATTTTTAAGACACGAGTGGCGGATTTTTGTATAGTTCGCTCAGTACTGGTTGTTTCTATTAAATGCTTTTGTCTCGTGAGAATTTGCTTTAGGTTTGGCACTGATGGTTGGTGTTGTGTAATAAAAGGCAAGATTCGTTGGTTTGTCTTCGGTTTCTGTTGAAGAGCTAGTTTCCTGTTTTTTAAATTCACCTCTGAAAGGGTTGTGTTAATGAAGGCCTCTGGGTGGCCTCTCTTTCGCAAATGCGCTTTGAAATTTGGAATTTTCTCTTCGAATATTGTTCGAGAGGAGTTTGTTCTGAGAAGTCTACGGGCCTCTCCTTTTATTAAGCCTTTCTTAACTCCTTGTGGGTGACAGGAACTATAGTGTGTATACTGAAATGTCTCAGTTTGTTTAAAATGAGTACGCACATCAAGGATTGCGTCCTGTTCGAATCGTTCGCCTCTATAATTATAGATGTAGGTGTCCAGAATGTTGTTTCCTTATCGGAAATTGCAGCCGTAAATTTCATTGTTGGATGACGATTGTTTGCTTTTTCAATGAAACGTTCTATTGTTGTTTTGTTTGTACTCCATAGGGAGAAGATCATCGTCTATGTAGCGTTTCCAAACAAGCGGATTCAGAAAAGACTTTTGTCAAGGATTTCATTGTACAGCACAAATATAAGTATTGTAGTTAACACTATCAACTGAGAAATTCTTTCTAGAACACGCATTTTCCCGGCGTTGACAAAGTTCTAAGTCATGCATGCTTCGACTTTGGGAACGGTATGAAGGCTTTCCGACCGTTTTTAAGCGTTTCTTTAGGCGGATTAAGCGAATCTGGCAATCTGGCCGGGTATTCTGAAGTTTAGCCGAAGAAAACTGAATGTGAGGCCAAAAGAGAACCCTCGCCCGCCATTTTGTTGTTTACAAAAGCTTAGCGACCGAGCCATGACGCTGGCCCTAGCCCCGGGAAAGCCTTGCTTGTCGAGTTTGCATGTAATGGAGGGCTATGTTTTGACCCTTCTGGTAGGGTGACCCTATCTCCATGTAAAACAGGCTCTTTGTATGCGATCCACATCTGAGGTGACCACACCACGAGACAAACAATTACATTTCCCTTTTTTTAAGTATAGGGAGATGTTGAAGGTTAATCCTTTTCAGGAGTCAAAGGGTTCAATGTTCTCCATCAATCAAACACTATACCCAAACAGAAGAATTTTCCATTTATTCCAGTCTTTTAATGTACATCATTCTTGTAGTGTACATCATAAACCCAACAATCCACCATGATTCTATCTCAGCAACAAAGGAGACTTTCTGTTCTTTCTTTTTTTCACAATATTAACAAATGAATTAAGCGCCTTCGTAAAAAAGTTTTCATATCAAGGAGTGATTCTACATCTATATCACTGTGTTTGTTGTTTTGTTTTAGAACTTAGCTGACGGCTCGGAGGGGGCTTCTATTTCATATTTTCTGTTAGAACTAATTTCATGGCCAAGTGACCTCTATTCTCTATTTCTACATTTTTGCATTTGTGCACGGCATCTTTCCTGCTTTGTAAATCCATTTATTCCAATTTTCATCCACCCAAGCTTTTCCTGCCATGTCTTCAGTTTGTTGGAGATTTCTACATAGTTTGATTTGATTCTTGGCCCATTCAGAGAAATCAAATTCAGAATCTGCCTGATTGCCTGAGTGC